TAAGGGAATGTCGTACAGGTTGGGACGGGTTTCGTTTTTGGTGTGTGGTATTGAAACGGATGGGAATGACGTTAAATAAAAAATACCAATAAAAAAGTATGGTCATTGGCTACAACTTTGCTATAGAAAATTATTTGATATCGTGTTCGAGTCAGAAGTTACAGACATTTGAATGAAAACACCTTTTTCGGCCAAAAAAGAATTTGCCGTATAAGTTGGGACACTTTCTAAAATATGAAAAATGAGCCAAAAAATGCATGTTATTAATATGATTATTATTAAATGAACATTACGTATCATTCTGTCAGTAATTACAAACTTTTTTGAAGTTAATCAGAATCACAATTTGCGCAGGTAAAAAAACTCGTTCGCATATTAGCGCATTTTAAGTGCACAGCGCGTTTGCACGTGTTGCATTCGACGGAGTTGTAGCGAGTCGGTTTGCGAGGCATGTTTTTCATGCATATAATGCAAAAATCGACATCTTCATCATCATCATCATCATCATCATGATCATCATCATCGTCCTCTGATGACGAAGAAGAAGTCGATTTTTTCTTCTCGCGTTTTTTTGCAGGTTGCTTCCGTGCCGATTCTTTCGATGCAGGTTGTTTCCTTTTTAGTAGCCTCTTTTCTTTATTCGCGGTGGCTTTTTCTTTAGCAACCAATTTTTTTTTTCCTTTTCTTTCGCTTCGGAGATATTTTCCGGCGATGTTAAAACGCAGCTCTTCATTGGTTTCCGGCCACGATTACATTTTTTGCCTGGAGTTGAAGCACACAAAGGTCCGACGGAAGACAAAATCGAGGACATCGTACTTGATGTTTTTGATGTACTGGTCTCTTCATGCGCAACTATTTCTGGTACGTTTATAAGAATGCGACGCTGCAATTCCATGTTACTTTCTTCTGACTCAGCTGCAATAACTTTATCATTTTCATCATCAACTACCGCCTGAACGAAGTCTGAGTCGGTGAATGCATTCGGGTTGAATGGCGAAATTCCAGTGGCTTGAAACCCTGCTTTTATATTGCATGGAGTAAGCGCCAAGTCCAACGCTTTTTGCACTAAGCTAGCAATATGGCGAATTTCAATGACTTTGTTAGCGTTGTTTTTCTGCCAAGCATTGCACTGAGTCTTATAGTAGCTTTTTACCGGGCCATATACCGACACATCTAGAGGTTGTAGTTTATGGCTGCAGTGAGGTGAGAACGATAAAAGCGTCACGCCATTTTCTACGGCCATATCCAAAACCTCGACAGATAAATGCGAGCTGTGGTTGTCGATCAGGAGTAACGTTGGATTTGTCAACGACGAATTACTTCGTTCAATGAAGTGTTTCATGTACTTCACGAAATCTGGTTGGCACATCCACCCCGACTCATTTGCAAATCCAACAGCTCCAGGTGATGCATCATCCATGTAACAGCCCTGCATTTTTTTGTTGGAAACAAAAAATATGGCGGTATCGAATTGCCTTCTGCATTGACTGCCAACGCCATAGTAATCATCCTTCCTCGTTCAGCAGATGACATTAGGCCGACCTTTTTTATGCCACGAATTGCAATTACTTTTCCAATTTTTGTTGGAACCGTGGAAAAACCGGTTTCATCCATGTTCCAAATATTTGATGGTCGAAATGGATGAGTTGTTAGAATATTATCTAAATTTCCGAAAAAAAGTTCCACATTCTCTTTGCAGAAAGCTTTGACGCGATTTAAACTGGTTTGTTCTGGTGTTCGTAAAGTCAGGCTTGAATGCCGCTGCAAAAAGGAATAGTACCAGTCTCGGCCTGCAGTTTCATGTTTATCCCAGCTTGGTGGGTATGGAGCATCAATTTTATTGGCGAACTGGTAGGCAAGCAATCTGAGGTCTGCTATACTCAGGCCATAATAATGATCGCAACATCTTTTAATGTAAGCCACTAATTCTTCTTCTTGTTCGGGTGAGAAAATCTATAAAATTTTATTTGTTTAATTAGACATAGTTTGTTAAAACAAATTCATAACTCCTTAAAATGTGAATAACAAAATCCGAATAAATTCATTAAAGTCGCTGCAAAAACGAAAAAAGTCAATTTTAAAAATAATTAAGGATTAAAATAAGACCATCAACTTACCAACGATGGAGTGGCGTACGAAGAAACGCTTTTAACCAGCTTCAACAATGCATCGTCGCCGAGAGTTGAAATATCTTTGTTTGTGTCGTTAATTTTTTTTATATATCGCGCCAAACTGCTTTTTGGGATATTATGCGCTTTTGCAGTGGATCGTATTCCCTTAAAATCGATTTTTATTTCCTTGATCGCTGCGATTAAATTATCCCAATCTGTAACTCCGTGATCAGTTTTCCGAACGTAGCGTGACATTGCGAAAAACTACGCAGAGACATGAAATGAAAGAAATACGTCACAATAATACAAAATTCTATCATAAATATAATTGCATGCATCAAATGTTATTAAAATATCGTTTAAATGGCATCGCAGTGTCTTGGGATAAAAAAACGTGCTGTCCCAACTTATACGACACAAGTGTCCCAACTTGTACGGTAGACGCCATTTCGTGAAAGCCGAAAAATACTTTTCCACGACACTACGTTTCGATTGCCGTTTCACACCATTAAACTACACTGAATACAAGACTCATTCAGCATACTTACGTGAAATAATAAAATTTACTTCTCCAAATAAACCGCATGCAAAAACTACGCAAAAGATCTTTTTCGTTACACAATTTACGACGCACGTAATACACAGTTTTTCAACACGTGTTCTTCGGTCTAACGCACATGAAACGTTTGTTTACAAGCAAACTTTATATCCCCAATCCTTAGATAGACGTCGCCACAATGCACAGTCGAGATATTCAGCTGTCCCAACTTGTACGGTGTCCCAACATGTACGA